TCTGGTGATCAAGGGCTGAGTATTTTAGGACAGACCGGCTCAACAGCGGCAAAATCACAGTTTGCCAGTGAAACGGGCTCGGTTACTTGGGCATCACTCAGCCCCCAGTGACTGCGGAAGCACGGATGCTCTGAGCTGTCCTGACCTAGTGGGGTCTGGTGGGGGTTTTGACCAGTAAATTGCAACGAAGCATGGGCAGGCAGGTGCCAGGGTAGGCACAGGAGGCTCTGGTGACAACAACCATCCCGGACACCTCCACCACTTGACTCAGACCAGCCAGGTCTGAGCCAGCCTGCCCTCCCGTCCCCGCGCAGTGGGTTTGCTGCTCCAGCTGCCATAGCACAGGCTGGGAGCAAAACTGGGCTGAGGAGACCCCATTGCTGGGACCAACAGGGACAACTGAAGGGCCAGCCCTGCTCTCCCTGACCCAGGGTGGATCCTCTTCTTGCACCTAAAGGGAAGAGCTGATTCTTGCACCTCACAGCCAGCACTGGGACCTGGCAGAGGGACAAGGCCAGGTTGGATGGAGCTTTGCGCAACCTGGTCTAGTGGAAGGTGTCCTGCCCACGGCAGGGGGGTTGGAACTAGGTGACCTTTATGGTCCCTTCCAACCCAACCCTTTCTATGATTCTGTGACTCTGTGACCTCCCAGTGGGTGCCGGTGGCAGACTGGGATGCTGGGATGCAGCAGAGGCGTGTGCTGTACCTGCCGGTACTGCTGATCTCCCCCCACCTGCCTTTGTGCAGTGACAGGCAGGAGCCAGCTATTTGATTTCTCCTCCTCTGGCAGCTCCTGCCTGTCACGGCTCAGCACCCCGGGGGATCCCCAGCAGGGAAGCATCTCTCCCTGCTGTCTGCTGTCAGGCTGCTCGTGTGTGCCTGCGGGCACCCGGGACGCAGGGAGGAGGTTTTGCAGGGGTGGGTTTTCTTCCACGAAGCTGGAAGCTGGCGCTGACCCATCTTCGCCTGGCACCACCGGGTGGCAGGGCAGCAAGGTGAGGACCCCATGGCCCATCCTGAAAGGAGGAGGGTTGCTCAGGGTAAAATCTGTGTGGATCAAGGCTGGTCCTGGGCCCGCAGCAGAGCCAGGAGGCAGTGACAGGTACCCTGGTGATGGAGACACTCAGCAGAGCAGTTAGGTCTCTGCAGGACCAGGGCTGTCATCTTTGGGGCTGGATTTGGGGCTGCCTGGGGCTCTGCAGAGCACCTGCATCCTCTGGCTACCCCAGCGTACTCCCACCTTCCCCTCTGCCTTGGGCTTGGCCCCATTTCATGTCATTCGGGGATCCCTTCCGTCATCCTTGCCCCTTCATGCTGGAGCCTGCTGGTGGTGGTGCTGGTGGGACGCTGCTGGACCTCTATCCGCAGGGATAACCCACCAGGGCTTCATGACCCCTTGCACCTTCCATCATGGCTTGGCCCTCACTGAGGACCACTTCTCCCTCAGTCTCAGGGGCTGCCAAACTGCTCCCAGCTTGGGGGAATCGTGTCTGTGGCCCCACCGGGGCTGTGTTAGCAGGAGGGACAGGGTCGTTCTGGCTCCCGACGTGCGATCGCAGAGATGCCCGTGGGCTTGCTCCGCAGCCGGACACCCCGCGGTGTGGCCTTTGGGGACACGGGGGTGGCAGGGGGTCTCCCCCAGCCCTCATTTCGGAGCAGAGGAGCGCTGGTGAGGAGGTGACACCGGGCATGGCTGAGGCAGCACTGCCACCTCGTGGCATGTCACCCCACGGCGTGTCACCTCATGGTGTGTCACCCCATGGCATGTCACCTCTTGGCGTGTCACCCCACGGCATGTCACCTTGCGGCGTGTCACCTCGTGGCGTGTCACCTCGTGGCGTGTCACCTCACTGCCCGTGCCATGCTGGCCTCCCCGTGTCCTGCGGCCACCACCTGCTCCCACCCCGATGGGAAGGGGAAGGAGGAGGGTGCCAGGCTGGAGGTATTTTTGCGCTGGCGGATGTGGTCTGAAGAAGCCTCCGGGGTGGCACCGTGCAATGTTGATCCACGGCTCCCCGCAGCCAGCTCTCCTCTGGAGCCCTGGATGTCCCAGCTGCAGAGCAGGAGGAGAAGATGCTCAGAGGATGGGAGAGGAAGGCTTGGCTTGAATGAAGCAGCACTGAAAATCGAGTGAGTGGGGGGCTAAGCACTGCTCAGGAGTCTTCAAGCACTTGCCCAGCAACAGGACAAAGGGCAACAGGTACAAACCGAAGCAGAGGAAGTTCCAGCTGAACACGAGCAAAAACTTCTTCCCTCTGAGGGTGTCAGAGCACTTTAACAGGCTGCCCAGAGGGGCTGGGGAGTCTCCTTCTCTGGAGATATTCAAACCCTACCTGGACGAGGTCCTGTGCAACCTGCTTTAGGTGACCCTGCTTTGGGAGTGGGGTGGGACCAGAAGATCCACAGAGATCTCTTCCTACCCCTATGGTTCTGTGATCTGGAGGACTTGCTGCCTGGACCAGCACCAGCTTCCAGGAGATGCTGGAAACCCGTAACCAGTCCCTTGTACTTCAACATTTGAATGGGGTTAAGGGGACAGTCAGGGACAAAGGACACAGGAACACCAGGACACAGCCATCGATCAGTCCTGGATGAAATGATGAAGTGGTCTCATTTTGGCTGTATATTAACGAAGGGCAATAGGGTAGAAATACAATTTCTGTCCCGAAGCACCGTTTGGTGGAAGGTAGGTCTTTTCAAACTCACCTGTCATCTTTTCTTGACACGATTACAGATCTGGTTGATAGAGGAACTCCGCTGATAAAATAAAATTGCATTTCTTCTGGGCATCTGATTTATTGCAGGTTGACATTTTGATTAAAAATGTGTATTATATTGCATTAAGAGGGCATTTATTCAATGAATTAAAGACCAGCTCAGTGACAGATCTCCAAAGGTAATTATTAATGGGGATGCACTGACGAGCGAAGTTCTGTCTGGCAAGGTTCTCTGGGCTGATTTTTGGTTTCACATTAGTCATTCCCCTTTTCAACTGTTTTGGAAACAATGCAGCACCTTCCCTGGGACCATCCTCTTTCCTTGAACACCCTTCCCTGACCTCCAGCTGCTTCTGCATTTGCTCTGGGGACTCCAACGTCACTTTCTCATGAGGGTGAGTGCAGCTGCCACAGGACTCCTGAAAGCAGACTCCAGGTGGATGTGGACCAGAAAGCCCCTCCTATCTGCCCACTGCATCCCCAGTGGGGTGCCCTGGCTGGTTCCCTGGGTCAGAACCATAGTCACCTGCGGGGGTCATTGTGGCATGTCTCATCCCACTGCTCCCTGCTGCGCTAAGGCTTGGCTACTGGTGGTATTTTGGGGCTCTTTGGTGGCAGAGCTGAATGTGCATCCCTGGGCACCTTCCCTGGACTCGGTGGTGTGAGGCAGTGGCTTTTTCATTTTGCAGGTCTGGGTCAGGCAATGCACAGCTCCTAAGGTTGCCCACACATGGCTGGTGCAAGGCATGGCCACTCAAAGGGGACCAGAGCAACCCGACTGCCAGAGTCCCATCTTCTCCCGCTCTGCTACAGAGACAAGGTCCCCAAACCACTGAAGTGAGGGCAGTGAGAAGGAGATGTTTCATCAAGGATGCTTCAGGCCCTGCTGACCACACAGACACCAACAGCACCTTTGCTGGAGCCCTGCTGTGTCAGGGTGCAGCACCAAGGTGGGCATCTGGAGGGGTCAGCCCGCAGCAGCAGCGATGACAAGGCTGGGTACAAGTGACAGCCATGCTCTGCCCATCGCCCGGACTGGGAGCCACCCAGAGTGATCTGAGCATCCCTCAGATGGCCGTGCCACCTAGGGATGGCATCACCTGTCCCCTCCTGCAGTGACAGAGCTGTGGCATGCCTTCGGGCACCCTCCACCCTGGGGGTGCTTTGTGCCCAGTCACCACCGGTCCCTGTTGCGGGGACCGTGCTGCCGGGCCAGGCTGGGAACCCTGCCGTCCTGCGCTTTTGCTGACCAAGCTGTTCCCGGATTGTGCCCAGCGCAGCCAGGGTGGAGCGTGGAAAGGGGAACAAGCTTCTCTCTCGTGCAGAGAAAGCGACACTTGGCACTTCTCTTCCCCAACAAGGCAAACCACCGTGCATGCACACACAGCCCCCCACCCCACCCCCTGCTCCTCTTCCTCCCTGCTCCCAGGGAAGAGTTTCCAGCCAGCAGAGCTGCTGCTCAGACTGGTCTGTCCTCACCCCCAGCAAGGAGGTAAGTCACCCCCAAGAGCTGAGGACACATGGCTCCTCTGCCACCGCTCTCCAGCCCTTGCTCCCCGTCCCAGTCCTTTCTTCCCTTCCCGCTTCCATAGGGGTTTAAAGTAGGAAAAGGGGGAGAAGATGATGTTGGGGGGAGGGGCTACAGGTATCTGTCCTTGCTCCGTGTGGTTGTGGATATCACTGGGCTCTGCAGGCTCTTCCTGGGCTGAGTACCCCAGGTTTTGGGGTAGGTCTGTGTGCTCAGGACCTCCCTTCTCTCCTCCAGCTCTGTGTGTTGGAGATCTGGATCTCTTTTGCCTGTTTATCCCTTTCCTGCTTACCCCTCCTCTGTCGCGTCTCTTTGCACCCCTTCCTCACTTGTGCTCTCGATCCCATGGGATCACTGCCCTGTACAGCAGTGCTTGCCCCCCAGCACTGGAAGAAGCATCCTCCACATGCATCTGATGTGCGACCACCCATCCCGCAAACCTGCACCAAAGGGTTTACGCCATGCTCCACGTCCTGGGCCCTCTAATCCCACAGCCTTGCCATGGGCACAGGTCAGAGATTTGCAGCAGCATCAACGATTTCGGATCACACAAGGAAACAACCTCAAAATCCTTCCATGAAGTTATTTTCTCCGTTGCGTGTGATGTCCAGCTATCTGTATTGGACAACAGATGGGTGACGTGGTAGATCTGTCCATGCCTCTGAGGAAAGCACTTGCATGTCTGTGTCCAAGGTGCATCTGTGTGCTTGCCTCCATCCCCAGTTCCCCCACCCCTGTCCTTGCAGGGAGGCAGGATGCAACCCGGGCTTTGGCTGGTGACCAGCACCCTGGCAGCAGTGCTGGGCACGGCCCTGCTGGAGGACGACACGTGTCGGGCACCAGATGGCAAGGATGGCTTCCCGGGAATCCCTGGCCTTGACGGGAGACCAGGGCAGAAAGGTGACACGGGAGAGCCAGGTAAGAGGGAGCTGGGGGTGTTCAGTGTGGGTGAACTGGGAGCCCCAAGCCTCTTGGTAGGAGCATCACGGGTTGTGGGAGCAGCTTGGGTGATGCCAGACATGCATGAACTGCTTCTCCTCACTGTCTCTCCCCAGGGAAATCAACACAGAGGACGGGCATCCAGGGACCCAAAGGGGATGCAGGTGAGCCAGGACCTCCTGGCATCCCAGGGAACCAGGGCTACCATGGCCCGCACGGCCCCCCTGGGCCCCCAGGGCAGCCGGGGCCGAAGGGGGACAAGGGCAGTGTCGGCGACATCCTGCAGCAGCCACGTCCTGCCTTCTCTGCCTCGCGGAGGTCCCCACCACTCATGGGCAGGACAGTGGTGTTCGACAACATCATCACCAACCAGGAGAGCTCCTACAGTCCCCAGACCGGGGAGTTCACCTGCCGCGTCCCCGGGCTTTACTACTTCGCCTTCCAGGTGGTCTCCAGCGGGGACCTCTGCCTGAGCATCACCAAGAACAGGGAGCGCGTGGTCAGCTTCTGCGATTACAACAGCCGCAACATCCTGCAGGTCAACTCGGGCAGCAGCGTGCTCAGCCTGGCCGTGGGCGACCGGGTCTCCGTGAGCACCGACCCTGCCAAGGGCAAGATGATCTACAGTGGCTCCGAGGCAGACAGTGTCTTCTCATGCTTTTCCCACAGGCGGGCTGATGGACCACCAGTCCAGACCTGCTTGGCACCAAAGCATCGTGGTGTGTGTGCCCGCATGTGTTTTCCCCCCGGGAGTGCATGGGATGGTTTAGTACCGCAGCAAATGGGGATGGTCTCAACCTGAGCCACCAGACAGATCCTGTGCTTCCACCAGTGTCACAAAGTGGCCGGGCTGTGGGTCATCACTGCAGCAGCGAGAGACCTGCTAGCAGTTACCTCCATGCAGAGCCTGCCCACTCCATCCTGGAGGCAGAGGACTCCTGGCCCCAGCAGCCCTCTCTGCTCCTGGGCACTCAGACCCCACACTGGAGGGGACCAGTTGTCACTGGGGCCATTCACCAGCTGTGGGTCTTTATTTCTGAGTGGGAAATCACTGCGTGCCACTGTTTCTGCTACATTAACCATTGCAAACGCCGTTCTGGTACAAGACCACCACTCCCTCTCACACCCTCCCTATCAGTAGAAGTAAATCCTTCTTCCACAACAGCCGCTTGGATATTCTTTCCTATTCATGTGTCTTCTCCAAACCATGAATGTCCTGGGCCCCTTCCTAAGCTGCCTGGGGAGAGAGGCGATCCCAGCTTGCCCCTGGCCAAGCATAGACCCCGACTGTAAAGGCAGAAGGACAGGAGGGACCTGAGTGTGCAAGCAGAGCTGGCACTTACAGGGAGGAACAGGAAGTCTCTGGGACCAGCCTGTGTGTGTCCCTTCTCTGATGAGTCCAAGCTAGCTGTCCCTTACAAGGGTAGATACAGGGAGCAGATCATGGATCTCACTCACACCATCCTCTGTTGGTATCCAAACCCTCCCAGCATGGGGAAAGGCAGCTGTGGTCCTCCAGCCTTTCAGCAAGGAGGTCCAGGGACATCAGGGTGACTGATGGGGTTGTGGGGTGATGGTGGTGGAGTTGTGAGGCGATGCTCTTCTCTCTTTGGCTTGGGTTGAGACTAGTGGGCAGTATGGCAGGCTGGGCAGGTGCCAGACAGCCAGAAAGCATCAGGGAAGCCACGCAGGTGCCGTACCCTGGACTGCTACTCGGAGGAGCTGCTACATGCTTGTTGGGCAGTCAAATGTCTCCATTCCTGGAGCAGTGAGGAGGAGACCAGCTCACCTGCGAGGAGCGATGCTGGGGCCCCAGCGAATCCGTCGCCCAGCAGAGCTGGTGAACCACAGGGAGAAAATTCAACATCCTTCAGTCCCATCTCCTGCAGGTGCAGCATCTCCCTTCAGAGCCAGGCAATGACCTTGCACCAGCCCTTCACTGCACAGGCAGCTCTGGCCCCACGGAGCTGGCATGAGGCTCTGCTCCCCATCCACTCGCTGTCCTTCTACTCACAAAAGAGCTAAGGATAGGTGACAGGCAGGTGGTTTGAGGAGGGCTAGTCCCCACGGTGGTTGGAGGGTTTGTGGCACATCTCCTGGCAAAGACTCATCCTGCCTCTGTCCTTCCAGCCCCTGCTGCTGCAGTGGCACAAGTGCAGGTCTCGCTGCACAGCCAGGAAAGTGCTTGCTCAGAGGAAACAAGCAGGCGGGAGGATGTGAAACTCGGCTGGGGGTTCTGGGTCCCCAAGGGCCCTTTCTTAATTCCGCGACTTCCTCCGGGAGGGTGTCAGGGAGAGTCACCCACGCCAGGCTGTGCCGGCAGGCAGTGCCCACAGCAGCTGGAGGGCTCAGCGACGCAGCACCCCGTGCCCTGCTCTCCTCACCAGAGGTAAGAGGTCCTGCAGGGTCCATCTCTTCGGGGTGGGCTGCGTGGCGACTGGGGGTCCAGCAGCATGGCACAGTGCTGGGCTACGTGAGAGGAGGAGGAGAAGGAGACAGAGGCACTGCCAGGCTGCACACATGTCACGGGGGTATGCGCGCTTGTCCTTGCTGGGGGAAGACCTAGTACCCTGGGCCAGGCACTGTCCTGGGAGATCCCCAGCTAATGGGGGGCTTGATCCCGATGGGCAGAGTCAGAGAAGTCGGCCTGCTGCTGGAGGAGGGGTGAGATCAGCTGGGTCCAGGGAGCTCCAGCCTTAGTGCAGCATGGTGCAACGGTCTATAGCAGCGTACACATCTGCAGGGGTTCGGGACGCTGGACTGGGAGAGCTTGAGGCTGGCCAAGGGCACTGCAAGACCTCATGGCTCCATCCAGACTGAAAGTCCAACCCCTCTTGTGCCATCAGGGGCTGCCTTGGGGTTGATGATGAGCCCAGGGTCCGTCTTCACATATCTGCCTCCCCACCGCCTGGCAATTGGTATGGGGGGAGGACACTGAGGGCACAGCCATCGCAGCCAGGTGCTCCTGGTGCAGTCAGCCTAATAGCACAGTACCTCCTTTGCCCTATGGCCTGGAAACCACCCTGCTGTGGCCCCTCACCCCAGCACTTTCTTTCCCTTTCCATGCTCCAGACCGCCAAAATGGGGCAGAGCTTCTGGGAGCAGTTCTATCTGGCCCTCACCCTCCTACTCCTGAATTTGGGGTCTGCCATGACCAGAGATGCCACTCACAGCTGCTATGGGGCTCCAGGCCTGCCAGGCATGCCCGGTGTGCCAGGCAAGGATGGCCGGGATGGGCTGAAGGGAGCCAAAGGCGAGCCAGGTGAGTGAGCAAAGAGAACCACGCAGGCTGTTGAAGCAGGGCCTTTGAATCCTCTGTGGGCAGTCTTCCTTGGTTTGCAGGCTGTAGAGAACATCTTCTGTGGACAGGGCAGGAGGATGGGACGCTGGAGAGAGGCAACAACCCTCTCCTGCCCAAGACAAGGGGCTGGAGGAGCCTCTCCCCGTATCCTGCCATTGACACTGACTCCTTTTCACTCCCCACTGCCCCACAGGCATCCCGGCCACTTCTGCAACACGAGGGCCCAAGGGCGCAAAAGGGGAACCAGGCAGCCCTGGCTTGCCAGGCAAGACTGGCCCCTTTGGTCCCCCTGGCCCCCCTGGAGACCCTGGGCCGATGGGCATGGCCGGAGAGCCGGGTATGCCAGGCAGCTACAAGCAGAAGCACCAGTCAGCATTTTCGGTGACGAGGCAGACCAACACATACCCCATGATGAACGTCCCCGTGGTGTTCAACCACGTCATCACTAACACCAACCATGACTATGACACCACCACAGGCAAGTTCACCTGCAAATTCCCTGGCCTCTACTACTTCATCTTCCACGCCTCACAGACAGGCAACCTCTGCATCATCCTGTACAAGAACGAGAGCAAGATGGCCAGCTTCTGCGACCACAAGACCAACACCATGCAGGTCAGCTCTGGTGGGATCCTCCTCCGTCTGCGTGCTGCAGATGAGGTCTGGCTGGAGGTGAACGACTACAACAGCATGGTGGGCATCGGAGACTCCAACAGCATCTTCTCAGGGTTCCTGCTTTTCCCAGACTAGAAGACCACCTGAGCCCACCCCAGCACAATGACCTTTTTGCCCTGCCCTGCAAACACTGCTGCTCACCACCAGGCTGTTGCTGATGCTCCAGGTTTCTCTGCTGGATTGGAAGCCCCAGTGAGGGGGTCAGCCCCAGCCACCAGACACAACCCCCTGGCCTGGGGACCGAGCGCAGGCTGAACAGGGCAACAGGCACATCTGGATGCATCTGCACCCAAACTGATATGCCAAGCTCCCGTGGTCCCACTGGCACTGCCATGTGCGTCCACCCTGATAACCCCACATTGCCATCTGCTGCTGGAGCCTGAGGTCTCTCTGCTTCTCTCTGCTTCCCACCTGGGTTGCGCCAGGGACGGCCAGGTGTCCTGGAGCAGGCTTGCAGCAGCACCTTTGCCTTCACCCTGCTGTGGAAAGTGTCAATAAAACCCTCCCCAGTGCACCTAGCCTACTGTGTTTTTCCTCCATGACTTGCCTTTCTGCAGGTGGAGCCCACGTGCGGCCGGGTGGATGTGTTGGGCACGCATGCTTACATGTGTGTGCACGACATCTGGACGTCTGTGTGGCATCAGAACGTCCCCAAGCCTTCGCTGGCATGGCTGTGCTCAGCATCAGCGAGAATTACACACCGTTCACGACCCCAGCTTTGCTCAGCGGTGCAGGACCCCCAGTAGCACTGACTGCAGGAAGGGAATGGTTCCCACGCCCGTGCACACAGCCCCCACGCAGGGGAGACCAAGACTCCTCCAGGCAGGGGCCCTGATACCCCCCTTCCCCTCCAAATGGGTGCATTTCAGTCACAGAGGGCCACAAACCAGGCAGCAAACCTCATAGCCATGCCTCCAGTGGCTGGGGCATCCACAGGGTTCCAGCCCGACCGGGGCAAGGCAGGGGAAGCGCTGGCTTCGCTGAGCCAGACCAAAGGAGCTCGTGGCTGTGGAGGCTACTGAGCCCACCAAAACCCAATGGAGATTCATGCTGGTGGCTCACATTGTACGGTGGAAGACAACACCAGCTCCTGTGCTTCACCTCCTCGAGGCATCACAGAATCACAGAATCACAGAATGGTAGGGGTTGGAAGGGACCTCTGTGGGTCACCCAGCCCAACCCCCTGCCCAAGCAGGGTCACCTACTGCAGGCTGCACAGCACCGCGGCCAGGCGGGTCTTGAATGTCTCCAGAGAAGGAGACTCCACAACCTCCCTGGGCAGCCTGGGCCAGGGCTCCGTCACCCTCAGAGGGAAGAAGTTCT